TAATTTTTGTTTATAAATTTTTTATATACTACCAAAGCAAGTATTAAATTACAAACTTTAAAATAAATTATTTTTTTTATAATAAAATTCATCAAATATTATTATTTACTTGTTAGTTGTTGTATATTTATTTATTTACAATCACTACTAATAAATTAATATTTATTGAAAAATAAAAATATTTTGCTATAATTATAAAGCTATACAAATTTATAGTAATTACTTATTATTTAGTTTTATAATATAAAACTTTTAAATAAATCTAACTACAATATATAGCTAGCTTTTTTTTTTTAATTTTATATATATAAAAATTTATATAAAAAAGATTTAAAAACTATTAATTAATTTTGTATAGCCTAATATAATTTAAATAAGGGAGCTAACAATTATTAGATGATTTTCTAGGGGGGGGGGGGTCAAAAAGATTAGAATTTTATATATGAGACCTGATAATTTATATATTAAAAACTAGGAGAGGTAAGCCTCTGATAAAAAAAAATCAAGTAATAAATGACACTGCTCTAATAAATTATTTAAAGCTTTAATATTTTATAATAAAATTTGTATTCAATAAAGATTAATAATCATTCAATTCAATCAACTCTCCTCGATAATCACTTATACCAAAATTTTCTATCAAAGAAAAACACAACTATTGTTAGAAAGTCATGATCTATATAGCGGTCTGTTTAGAGATTAATATTTACTCTATTGCAGGATGCAAACCAAGAGTATTATTATGCAAGATAACTAGCAGGTAGTACCCTTGTATAAAAAATCTTGGTGAAAGGATAAAGTCTTTTTTGTTGATAAAGCTTATTAGACTGTTAACAAAAACACAAAAAAAACAACAACAGTTGTGAACTTCAATACACTCCTTTGAAATTTTAAAAGTACCTGACCTCAAAAACTACTTTCTATATTCTCACTGGGTTTTTTGGTATTTCTCTTAAAATTTTTTCAAAATGTGAAAAATTCAGTGTACCTTCTATAAAAGATTGATATTGCTTACGTAACCAAATCAGGAATAGTGAGTTACAAGGAAGTCATATTCTATATGCACAAAAATTATAGTAAATAATATATAGCAGATAGGGTAAATAAGAAAAATTTCATATTCCTTACAATATAAAACTATTTTAATACCGAAGTAAAGTGAAGGTGAGGATTGTTTTATGGAGTATTAAATAATTTTTTTCACCATACATGAGTGCAACAATCAGAAGTTCATTCTTTTGAAAATAATATATTTATGTCTTTCTTTTTTTTTTTTGCTCTTTTTTTTTTTTTTATCTTTTTTGTTCTATTTCTTTTTTTTGTATTTGAATTATATTTAGATTTTTGTAATATTCTCTCTTTTTTTGTACTTTTCTTTTTTTTAATTTAGTTTTTTTATATACTTGTCATTCTTTAGGCAAGGATTATGAAATCCCCTTGCTTGGATATTAAGAAGAGGAGAATCTTAAGGAAATTAGCAGTCATGACATGCCTGTAGATACTATTCAGTGATCTATTTGTTTTTTGGTAGCAGAAGAAATGAGTAGAAAAATAAAATTCTATGATAGCAGGTTGAACATAGGTACACATTTGATGCAACCGGGTTAGTCAAAACTTGTAACTTAGGTGACTGAAGCAATTGTTTTGGTAAAATTAGTTGATAGTGTAGTTTGTTAATTTAGGTCTAATAAAGTTTTGGCATGATTGCCGAATTTATAAAAAAATAAAGATTAATAATACCTTTAGCATTAAAAAATAAAAATTATAATTTATTAATTATTAAAACTAGACTTGCTTGTACTACTAAATATGTAAAAAAGATATTTATTAGTAAACTTTAATATACGGTATATTATACGTATATACTATATATATACAGTATATATATATATTATATATATATATATATATATGTATATATATATATATATATATATGTATATATATATATATATATATAGTATATATATAATACGTAGTACAGTACGTATAAAAATAACTGATTATGGACTAACCCGAAAAGACATTAAAAAAAAAGTAAATTATAAGTATTGTCATTGGTGAGGCGCACTTACAGAGCGTGCATTTATGTATAAACTATTTAAAACAATGGATATTTGTCCGGTACAGTAGTACGGTAGTGCACTAAAGGCCCGGGTAATACAAAATATCTAACCAAAAAACTTACAAATATCTGAGCAATTGTAAAGCAGCAGCTCTAAGTCGCAAAGAAAATTTTCAAACACATATATAGTAGAGACCCGTGTTTTACAGCGCCTATGGTAATAAAATAGTATTAGAGTTTAAAAACTAGCCAGAATTCTTAGCGTTAGTTACGTATAATAATAATGCTGTATATAATACGTAATATATAGTAAGTTTAACAGAAAACGGATTAATCGGATTAATCGCAAAATCAGTTTAGATTTGGCCAAGAGTCTGTATACCCAATATATAATTTTATTTTTAGAATTGACGTATTCGGACTTATTTTTAGATTATGTACGTACGTACGACATACGTTTTCCGTTTTCTTTTTTTTTAACCGATAAATTCTAGAAATTCTAGAATTAAATTATAGATTTTTGTTGGAGATATTCGTGTCTTCTATGATACGTTGTACGTATAGTGGTGATTAGTATATAGGTAGATATATAGAAAAGAGCAACAAAGTTGTTTAATACCGTCTTACTATACTGCTATAGTATTATATTTTATCCAGCCATAATCACGTGATAAATCCGATCATCGCGTGGAATTTAAGTGAGCCACTACAAGCCATAGTAATGCAAAATATTAAATTCTCGAGTTCTTTTGTCAAGCAGATATAAGATAATAATAAAGAATGATTCGGCCGAATCGATAAGCAGATATACTCAAATTTGTTAAATTTGTTCACTGAAATGCAAAATAAACATAAATGCCAATGACATTTTCGCGAAAATTATAATCACTTGTTTATATTTACCGAAATATTCTTTTACCATAATAGCTCGGCTGATCCGATGGAAATTGTAACCATTGATTAACCAAAACATACTAAACTTATTATGCCCGTTTCATTGACTTAGCGAACACTCTTTGCAGTTTTTTTATCATTACATAATCCAAAAAATTTTTATCACCAAATTTGATATATTGATATTTATGGTCTTGTTTGTTTACAAGCCACATGCGAGAAAAAAATATATATAATTAATGCCAATTTCATTTTTATTTTATCGACTTGAAAGTTTTTTTTATCAGCTTTCAGTCTATTGTTATTTCATCACATAGTCCAACTCAGCTGTCAGTCCTTACCCTTTCTAACTTTGGATCAACGTTTTTCGCTCATTATTCCAAGAAAAATAAAGCAAAATATAAAAGATATGCACATTCTTTTATGTCAAAGAATCCAATTAATATTTATAAGCTTTCTCTAATGAATTATGACATAAGTTGCTTATATACAAGACTTAACCTTTTAATATATGCCACAAAAGTTATCAGACTAAGAAATCGCTTAAAGTGCACTATGCAATTAATATAAGTAAATGAGTTTAAATTATAACCGTTCCTCGAAACCGTTAATTTTATATATAGTATTTATTTACGTATCAAAAAAAAAAAAAACATTCTAAACTCTTTTTTTTTTTTTTTTTTTTCTGTGCCTCGTGCCTTAATTACAATAATGTTTAATTTTAGACTTGACTCGAAACTTATTTGCGACATGCATTTAATTTGACCAGTCGGTTTATTAGAAAAAAATTTTTTTTTTTTTTGTGACTCGATTTTCATCATTGAGTCAATGGAGTCACACCGCACAATCTCGCAAGTGTCCCATAAGATAGAAATTTGTGGGATGCGCTTAATTGAACTATTTTTTACGCACTTGTGTCTTTTTTTTTATATTGACATATAATATTTGGGGTAATTCGTTATTTTAGAGATTGTTTTGTAAGCGGAAACGCCTAATTAATCATTAAGAAAGAAAAAAAAAAAGTCACGGGTATATTTCCGTTTTCTCTTTTACCGTTGTGGCGCAGTATGCACTTATTTATAGTACGGCTATTTTTATCTTTGGCAGTCGATTTAATTTCATACTGTACCACTTTCCTGCTTAGTAAAAAAAAAAAAAAACCCCCCATTGTCGTACGACACCTAAAATGTGGAATGAGGTAATAGAAATATAACATACATAATAAAATTTTATAATAAAGTAAATAAAATAATATACGTACGTACGTATAACGATAATAAATACACGTGTTTTTGTGTGTGGCTTTGTTTATAGTAAATATTACCATATGATATCGAATGCCTTTGCTAATAAGGAAATTCATTCAGTACGATCTTTTAGTGCCAGATCGGCTTCGCGCAGTTTCGAATGACACGCGCGATCGAAGGGCTTCGATCAATTCCAAGTAATATGTCAAGGTTGACGTTATCTGATGTTACTTGATGTCATTTATTGTGTTTGATGTTATTTGATGTTTAATTCAAAAACATTAAGTAAAAAAGTAATCTTTCATAGCTTTTCAAAGTCTTTTCCTTAAACATGCGTCTTGATTTGTTCTGTATGTCTTCGTGGGCTTCTAGTTTAACAAAAGAAAAAGTTCTCGTAATCGTAAGTGATTATTCGTACATGTCATCATATTATTATTACAATCTTAATAGATCTATTTGACAAAATATAAAGCCCTATTTAATCATTTAATGAACCCAACAATGGTGTACACGTCAGTTCATGGAATTGTCTTTCATAATTTTAAAGATTGAATGTTGTTATATTATTAAAAAGACCATACGCTTTCTTTCCACGTCAGTCATGACATGGTTGGAAATTAACTGTCATTTGTTTTTTGACTACTTAAACATGTCATTTGATAGATGAAACATGTACTGTTTCTTAAAGCAAATATAAAGTCTTTTTTTTTTTTTTTGTTATATTCAAATTTCTTTATACATTCTCTATACATTTTCTATACATATCTTTCTCAAACCTTGTTAACCCTTTTTCAATGTCTTCATCTTCAACTCTCGCAAAACGTCCTCCTAGTCCAACTGACAAAGAAGACGTGAAGAAGAAAAAAAATATTGACGCGCAATATGCTCTAGAACTAAAACTGTCTGAACATCCTGAACGTCCAAGTATCGGTTCTTCTGGAAGAAAAGTTAGCGTTAAAACTAACTATTTAAGAGTCCGTACAGTAAGTAATCTTAATTTTTATATTATTAATCTCCATTATGCTATGATCTTTATTAATTGCTTGATTTTTTCATAAAAAGCTTCCCAGTGGCTCCCTCCTTCATTATAGCTTTGTCGTGGTACCTGATGTAAAGCCCCCTTTAATGACAAAGATTTTTTCTCAGTTGGCTTCTCAAGGAAGTTTTGGAAACACGTGTCCCGTATTTGATGGAAATAGCGCTATCTATACATGTACTCCCTTGCCAATCGGTGATGAAAAAGATACTTCAAACATTCAGGTTAATAAACGCAAAACATTTGATATATTATTATAATATATTATATAGATACATATTATATTTAAGATATTATATTTAAGATATTATATATGATACTATATAAATATATTTTTTATATAGATAACACTACCGGCTGAAGGTCGAATGAAAGAAAAGACATTTCTCGTAACGATCCGTAAAGTAGAAAATATAGAAATGGAACGACTCATGGAATACCTTAAGGAAAAATGTTTAATGACAAGTCAAATTCCAACTTGTATTACAATTCTTAACACTGTATTAAACTATGGTCCAAGAAAAAGTTATGCTGTCGTGAAACAAGGAATTTTTCCTAGTGACCCTAATAAAAGGCCTATAGTTTTGGCTGGTGGTATCGAATTGAAGATAGGATTTTGTCAATCTATGCGGCCAGGATGGGGTATGTAGATTTATTATATATATTTTAATAATCTATAATGGTTCATTTTAGCTTTTTTTTTTTTTTTTACGCTATTATTAGATAACATGTTGGTGAATGTTGACATATGTGCTGGCCTTTTTTACCCAGCAGTATCATTGATCGAATTTTGCCGACAAACTTTGAATAAGAATAATGTCAACGACCTCAGGCGAGGAGTTAATGATTATGAAATGCGCGACCTTGAACGTGTAAGTTATGATTTATTTTCACTTCTGATTTCTTTTTAATTCATTTTACTATTTATTTTTCATAGGCTCTCAAAGGCATCAAAATCCGAGTTACGCATCGTGGTGATCGTAAATTAGTAATTAAGGTGGAACGACTCTCTTCTAAAGCTGCGGATGACCTTTATTTCAAAAATGAAAAAGAAGGTCGAGATATGTCCGTTTCCGAATATTTTGAAAAAAATTATAATCGTAGACTTGAATTCAAATCTCTTCCTTGTATCATGGATAAAAAGAAGAACTATATTCCTCTTGAAGTATGCGAGATATTAAATAGTAAGTTTTATATTATTCTATTTTATTGTAAATGGCTGCAATACGTTCTAAAATACATTCTTTTTTTTTTTTTTAAAAAAAAAAAAAATTGAATTCATCTTTTCATCATCTTAGGTCAACGCTATGAAAAATCTCTTAGTGATAAGACTAAAGCAGACATGATAAGAAAGACTGCTATGCCCCCTCAAGATCGATTTCATAAAATAGAAGAAGGTATTAATCATATCTTTAATTATAAAAATGATGAAAATCTTAAAGATTTTGGCATAGAAGTCGACCCAAAAATGATGGTCATTGAAGGTATAATGATTACCGAGTTGTAATTTTGTTTATTTTTGTAATTTTATTACTATAAAATTTAATCAATAATGATTATTTATTTTTAGGAAGAGTTCTAGACACTCCAAAAGTGAAATATGCAAGAGATGAATTCGTACCTCAAAACGGCCGCTGGAACCTGATAAACAAAATCTTTGTTAGAGTAAGCATTATTTATATATTTATTTGTTTATTTATTTTTTATTTATACGCGTTTATTAATGAAATCACTTATACATTAATAGACTAGGACGTTGGTCAACTGGTCCATTCTTGTGTTGGATCAACGTGCCAACAATCAGGTTAAAAATTTCGCTAGAGAGTTTAAAACTACTCTGATTGAAAGAGGGATGGTGCGTCAAAATACGAATAATTTTAATAATTGTAAAATGAACTCACTTTTATGTATCTAATTGACTTTATTTACATATAGGATGTGCAAACGGATCCTGCAATCGAATATGGAAATATACAAGGAGACTTTAGAAAAGTAATTATATTTCATGATTATGAATGTATTATTATTACATTTTAATAATAAAATAATAATAAAATACTCTTTATATAGGAAATGGGAATAGCATACGCAAAGGCCAGACTCGATAGAAATCAACAAGTGCAAATCATTATCATAATCATTCCGAAGAAATCTAGTGATATCTACGGAAAAATTAAACGAATTTCCGATACTGAACTTGGTATTCCGACACAATGCATCCTTTCCGAGAGATTAAGGAAACCTAATAATAAAGCTTGTTGGAATAATATTGCTCTAAAAGTAAATGCAAAGTTGGGTGGACGCAACTCAATTCTTGTCGAAGGACAATTAGATTATGTAACTAATGTAAAAATCCCTGTAAGTAAATTTAATTCAGTTATTTTAAAAGATATTTATATTTATACTTATATTTTTTTCCTAAAATTAAATTTTTAAAGACAATGATCATGGGCGCCGATATTTCACACCCAGGACCTAGTCAATCAATGCAACCAAGCATTGCTGCCGTTTGTGCTTCAATAGATGTTAATGGTACAACGTATTGCGGTCAAGTTAGTGTTAATGAAGAAAGAAGAAATGAAACAATCGAAAAACTAGAAGAAATGGCCACAGAATTACTTCAAATATTCAGTCACAAAAATGGATGTCTACCTCACAGAATGATCTTCTACCGTGATGGTGTTAGTGAAGGTCAATTTTCTGGAGTCGTGAAAAAAGAAGTTATTGCTCTAAAAAAAGCATTCGAAAAACTTTATGAACAAGGAAAGTCACCTCAGTTGACGTTTATCGTCGCTCAGAAGAGACATCATACAAGGTATACAAATTACTTGAAATTATGAATAATTTATAATATATTTATATCAACTTTAAATTCTACTTTTAATGCTACTAGGTTCGTGCCGGTAAACAGAAATGATGCTGATCAAAAAGGAAATTGCCGTCCAGGAACCGTTGTGGATCAGGTTCGTTGTGTTATTTACTTTGAAAATATAATTTCTTTCATTAATCACCAAATTATTTGATATTTGTAGGAGATTGTTCAAAAAAATCATTTTGACTTTTGTACGTGTCTCTATAAAAAAGAAATTTATTATTGTATTATGCACAAATATTAATTTTTTTTTTTTTTTTTTTTTATAGTCCTTCAATCTCATTCTGGGATTCAAGGTACAACTAGACCGACTCATTATCACGTTTTATTTGACGAAAATAATTTCAAAACCGATGAAATCCAAGAAATCACTTACAAGCTTTGCTATCTCTATGCAAAGTAATATATTTTTTCAATTTATTTATTTGTTTTTTTTTTATTTTGCTTAATGATTTTCTAAAACTTTTATTATTGAAGGTCTACATCAGCGATATCGATAGTCCCACCAATCGCTTATGCACATCTATTAGCAGCACGCGTTAGAATGTATCCGCAAGTAATGGATGCGAATACTGTTTCAGGTTTCCAAGGTCGTGGATCATATGGCCGTAATAACTCTAGACGAAGAGACGATACAACAGAAGATGCTAGCGATTCCGAACAGAAAACTGCTGAATCTGGTCACAGTGAAGGAAGTTCGAATGGTGTAACACTTCCTGAAATTCAAGCTGTGTTAAAAAGTGCGATGTATTTTGTATGATTGATATTTCTTAGTAATGTGGTTTATGAAAAATATATAGTAAAAAATGAAATGTCGAACATTTTCTTTGTACGTTTAGCGTATGTATGCTTGTAGTTATATTCAATTTTGGTATTTCTAAAATGTAGATATTCATTCTTTTCACTTGTAAAATTCATTGTTTTATTGTCAGTTGCTTAAGGAATTAATAACTCAAAAGTGCAAATGCACACAAAGCTATTAATTTGTGAGTATTTAGGTTCGTAATAACATTTTAAATAAATACGTATAGATTCATAAAACATCTTTGGAGCAAGTATTTAGTCATAAACATTACTGAATTAGGAATTTAGATCAATATTAACGTTAACAGTTCTAAATTATAAATTATAATTGCATAAATTCTCGTTAATTCAATCGTTCACTCGTTATTTCATATTATATATGTTACAATAACGATAAACCTATAAATTTAGGTTATAAACAAATGTTGATCTTTAAATATGTAAATTTGCTTATAAATTGAGATAAAATTGTTGATCGCTATAAACATCTTCTATTTCTACAAAATTTGATAAAAATCATGGAATCAGATCATAGAGTACATAAATCAACATTAGTTCGTACAATTAGTGAAACAGATATAATTGATTGTTCTAAAGTTACTAATTCAAAAGATATTGATGTAGAAACAGGAAATTCAAATGTGAAGAAACGTAAATTAAGTGATCAAAGTATTAAAATAGAATCAAATTTAAAGAATAATCAAATTAGTAAACAGATTGTTAATAAAGATAATTTAGATAATGATATTGTTTTCTATTATGAAAATGGTAATTAATAATGAATGGATTCATCTTTGGGTTTGAATTATTTGATTAAAATATAGAAATTAGTACCTTTTTTTTTCCTTTTGATAGGTTTGCGTAAAGTAAGACCGTACTATTACGAATATAAAACGTTTGCAAAAGGACGTTGGTTAGGTCGCAATATTCTAGATGTTTTTAGTACTGAATTTCGGGATAGACCCAAGGAATATTATGTATGCACTTTTTTTTCTATTGAAAGTTCCTTTAGTTTGACTTTTAAACTTATTTGATTTTTTTTTTTTTTTGAGGAAGGCATACGCAATAGAAAAAGGTTTAATAACTGTTAACAGCAAAAAGGTTACCGCTCAAACAATTATTAAAAATCAAGATTTAATTGGACATCGAATCCATCGTCATGAACCTCCCGTTACTGCTGAACCAATTAAAATTTTATGTGTCGAAAATGATTATATTGTTATTGATAAACCTAGTAGTATTCCAGTACGTTAAAAATTTTGTCTTGAATTATTTTAGTTTAAGTGAGGTGTATTAACATTTCATCTTAATTCTTGATTGAAGGTTCATCCATCAGGGAGGTATGGAATAATAATATCATCAAACGATATCATTTATACTGTAGTCCTTTATAATGATACTAAACTTTGTTTCCTAGATATCGGCATAATACGATCTTACATATATTACAAAAAGAACATGGATTTTCGAATTTACATTGTAATCTCATTTCATTTATATTCATGGTGAAATCTGAAATCAAATTAAACTTCATCCAATATTGTGTTTTTTTAAATAATAGCACTTAATAGATTGGATCGTTTAACATCAGGAATAATGATTTTATCATCGAAAAAAGAAAAAGCTCAAGAATTTGAACAACAAATGAAAGGTCGTAAAATTCAAAAAGAATATATTTGTCGTGTAGCGGGTGAATTTCCAGAGTGAGTTATAGTAATCTCTATAATTAATCCTTTTTCTTCTCATTGCTATATTATGATATTGTTATATTCATATTTATTTAAAATTGAATATAATTCATTATTTTTTACAGGGAAAAGGTAATATGTGATAAACCTATTAAGATAGTATCTCATAAACTTGGCTTAAACGTTGTTCATGAGAATGGAAAACCGTGTACGACGAGTTTTGAGCGAATTAGCTATAATGGTCGGACTAGCGTTGTAAAATGTATATCTTAAATATTTTTAATTTTATTTTTCAATTTCAATAATTTTGTAAATTAAATAATGTTTTGTTTAAAAAAAGGCAAACCTCTTACAGGTCGCACACATCAGATTCGAGTTCATCTTCAATATTTAGGTCATCCAATTGCCAATGATCCTTTATATGCAAATTCAAAAGCATGGGGATCTGAACTTGGAAAAGGTGGTATTGATGAGGAAAAAACAAATTCAGTAATTGAGAATCTTACTAAAGAAGGCTTTTGTGAAGATGGTGAGATGAACTTTGATACTCAAAAGAAAACTGAAGATTGTAAAATTTCTCAAACTAATACCGGAGATAATCTAAAAAATGAGATCACAGATTTACAAAATGAGAGTAATCAGGCTAAGGCTCAAATTGTTGCTGATGAACCTAATATACAATTTTGTGAAGAATGTTCAATATCAAAATTTTCCGATCCTCTTTTACACCAACTATTAATTTGGTTGCATGCTTTAAAATATGAAGGTAATGGATGGAAATATGAAAGTGAGTTGCCTTTTTGGGCTAAAGATGATTTTGTTGGAGATATAGATTATGTTTAATTATAAATGCTAATTGATTAAATAATGAGTTTTTTTTGTAAATTTTTATTTATTTCGCAAAGAAAAAAATTATATTTATTTTTTACTTTGTTGAAGTGATCTTTATGATTGGATTTTATTAATAATTTTTATATATAATATGTGCCTAAATGCCTATCCTAATAAAAAATTATTAATCTTGAAAAATAAAATTTTCGTGTCAAGATGGAAATTGGTGAATATAAACTGAAAGATTAATTGTTGTATTTACGATCTAATATCTAGAATGAAAAAATTATTACATAATTGAATGCGGGTGACGCCAATAAGTATTATGCATGTTAATAAGACTCTTTAAAATTTAACTTCTACAAACGACACACTTCTGCTGGTTAGGATTAGGGTGAACTCTACCATGTATATGTTAGAATATGATAAAATCAACTACTTCCAAAAAATCACATTGTACTACTTGAAAACGTGCAGTTTAGTTATTTTTTCAGCTTTTAAACAGAACGTCGTGGTACTTTGTATAATACGTATAAATTATTTTACCAATGTATTCAGCATTTCAACGAAATTGATTATTCTTACGTGGCGTATAATTTCTTGCGTCTAAAATGGCAAATATGGAAGACAATATGAAATTCTTTGAATCACCAATGCTTTTAATCAACTGAAATTCATTAGTTATTGTTACGAATATAGAATGGGAGTGCATTCATTCGTTACGTAGATGTGCGTATACAAGACCCGGGTCTTTTTCATTCCACCAATTTTTAACTTTATAAACCCGGGTCTAGTACACGCTGAGAGGTTATTTCGTAAAAGGAACAATTTTCAAAATGCATACAATTCGTAATAATAATAGGTAGTTTAGCTATTTGAAAAAAGACCTCACGGTGGGCCTGCTATTTGGGGATCTTGTATACGCACAATTACGGTATCAAAAATTTGCTGAGATGAATAATCCTAATGGAATGTATCGAGTTGGTTATTGTTATTATTCAGGAAATGAATAGGCATAAAGCATTTATGCATTATCTGAAATCAGCGGAGGCTGATAACTCCATAGGAATTTTAAACCCGCCATTTGCTATCATTATGGAATTGGTACTATGATAAATACGTATCATGAATGGATTAAGAAGTAAATTATTATTTTCAATAATAAGTTCAATGGTACTTAATTAATTCTATACGTATATATAGTATAATAATCAATTGTAAATATAAAATCATTGATTTATTAATAATATATTCATGTTTTCCATTTAAACAATACTGTATATAACTCAAACTTATCTGTCTATTCATAATATTTAGTCCGTGAGTATAAAGAACATTTATTAGTCTAAGTATTTATTCAAGTTCACGAATATTTACTATTTTATTCGTGTTAGTTTTGTTTGTAATTAACATTTATTAATCTAAATATTTCAAATAAGTTGTTCAAGTCCATGAATATTTAATATTTAATTTCATTTTATTCGCGTTTAGTTTGTATGTACAAAGAATATGTATTAAGTATTTAAATAAGGTTGAATATTTAATATTTGATTTCATTTATTCGTGTTCGTGAGTATAAAGAAAACTTATTAATCTAAATATTTAAAATAAGCTATTCAATTTCATGAATATTTACTACTTAAAGAATATTTATTAATAATCTGATTATTTAAATTGTTATTCAAGTTCATGAATATTTACTATTGAATTTCACCTATTCATGTTAATTTAGCAAGTATAAGAATATTTATTGTGGCGGCTTATGCTGAGAATTGGAGTCACTATTTAAATCCACAATACCTACTAAAATCTACCTATACTCTTTTATTAATAACCCTAACACTATACTCTAACCAAACTACGTATAAAAAAAATACCTCTAAAAAAGCCCTCTAAAATTTTATAATTTCATAATAAAATATTCTAAATTCTCAGTATAAGCCAATCTCAGCATAAGCTGCCACATTTATTAATGTTATTTAAAATAAGCTCATGACTACAGTCAGACCCCCTAAATGCACGTCTTCTCCTGGGCCCAATTAATATTACGCCTATAAATTTATACCTCCCTAAATGCAATACCTCTCTAAGTGCACTTTTGGCTAAATTTTTACATATGGTCCCCATTTCCGACTGTATTTATTATTTATTCATATTATTTAGGAAGTGAGTATAAAGAATATATTTTATTGGTCTAAGTATTTACTATTTTATTCGCGTTAATTTAGAGAGAGCATAAAAGAATATTTATTATATAAGCATTTAAAATAAACTGTTCAAGTAATTTAATGAGTGAGTGTAAAAACGTTTAATAATTTTAAACCAAGTTATTAAAATTCATGAATATTTGTTATTTGTGTGTGATGAGAATATTGTTACGGGGTGAATCGTACGTATGATCGATAATCTATACTATAAAATATAGACTTTATGATATAAGGCAACTCGCCAGAGACGTGACGTTGGTGATTTGTTTGAGCAATTTATTAAAGGGATTTATCAAGCTAATTTATTAAACTTATCGTGAATTAAATATTGGAATCCTGTAGGATGCCTTTTAACAACAGTAAAATCTCAGTGTATTTATAGCTTAAAGAATTCACGGGGCTTAGGGATAAATGACATATTATATCTTTTAAAGAATTAAAGATGCTAATTCTAAAATTCTAAAGTAGGGGCTTACAATAATAATTACAACATATTATAATAAAAGAAAGGCTTTGCTTCACAATTATATCTTTATTTTTCTGTCTTTTCCTACGCGTACTTGTTCTTCGGATCAGGGACCCGGAAAATTTTGGAAATAAATTTTTCCAAATTTTTGGCTTAATTTGGATATTTCAAATTTTTGTGTTTTAGCCAAAATTTTCCAAAATTTTTGGAGATTTTTAGAAAACATGTGATCTCCGACCAATAAAAATGGGACAATGAAAATTTTGGAACCCGGAAAATCATGGGCCCAAAATTTTTGATAAAGTCTGGTCGGAAGATTTAGGAATTGTGGTGCGTGTCTGTCGGGAAATTTCGGAAATGAAATGAAATTTTTCACTTGTCTCAACAGTGCTTTTCTGACGAAAAATAACCCAAAATTTTCCAAATTGTTAAAATTTTTACCCAAATTTTATCCAAATATTTGGTCATACCCAAATAAATTTTTGCAATTTGATATCCGGGTCCCTACTTCGGATGTTTGAGTTTCGCGTTTGTTTGTTTGTTTGTTTATCTTATTCGGTCACCCGCTAGAGTAAACATTTGGCCTCAATTACAGTGACGTTTACTTCTTTAATCATGAATTTACTGTGCCCAATTTGTAAATCCGCCCTTTGTCTGTGACATTATAAAGAATATATATATGGTATTTTAAAATAAGTTATTCCAAAATTTATGAATTTACTATTTAACTCGCATAAATTTAGTCCGTGAGTATAAAGAATATTTTATTAGTCTAAGTACATTACGGAAATATGCAAATTAGCAACTTTAATACTAACAATTAACTATAAAGTAATTACAGTATATAAATTACTTGATATATAGTAGCAATTTACTGTAAAATTGCCATACGTTAGTAATACTATACTATAGTTTTATTATATATAATTTTATAAGTTTTAAATACTATATAATTATTTTTATTATTACTATATGTTAGCAATACTACTACTACTTAATTTTACAAGTTTCAGTAAAGTAATTAAAATAAGCTACGCAAGTTCATGAATATATATTATTTAATTTCATATTATTCGCGTTATTTTAGTCAGTGAGTATAAAGAATATTCTAAGCAATTAAATTAAGCCATTCAAGTTCATGAACATTTATTATTTAATTTTATTTTATTTATTCGTGCCATGTATAAAGAACATTGATTAATCTAACTACCAATGTTTAAAATAAGTAATTCAAGATCATGAATACATACTATTAATTTCATTTAATTCGTGTTAATTTAGTCGACGAGTATACTGATAAAAAACATTTATTAATCCAGGTATTCACAATAAGCTATTCATATATTTATATACAGTATGTTAATTAATCGGTAAGCATTGAAGTTATTTGCATTCAAAAATTTAAGAGTCGCATAAATAACTAATCTAAAGATATAATGTGATTGATAATGGAAAATGTGTACATTGTAACATAAGAGAAGTATGAAGTCTTACATGTAATCCTGACATAACAATCCAAGGATGGACAAGTAGAAATAGTGAATTACGTGAAAGATTTTCAACTTAGAACTAATGCGTATGAAACTATGATTGAATAGATTCCATTTGATAGTTAAAGAAATAGATAAAAGAGCATTTAGCACTGTATTTCTGCAATCTGGTTAGATGACATACGAAAAATTGAAAATTAAGAAAAACGACGATGATTACAACGAAAATGATAGTCGTGAGTATATAAGATATTGTCTGATTATAACCCCCCTTATGATTTTTTAAAAGAAGTAAGTTAAGCCATTATTTATTGTACAGTTTATTAACGTATATTGAACTAATTATTTCTATATAAAGTTTGACAATCATATACGTAAGATGTATACAATGCAGTTGTAAGCTTAAGATATATTTAATGGTATATATTTCAATATGCACATATTAGAAATTTTTACAAGTTTTTAAAAAAAATTTTCAAGATCTTACCGGCATACTAAATTAAAACTGCATAAAAATATTTTAAGTGATTTATATAACATTCACCGTGTAGGATATAATAATGCAGACTTTCATAGTGCTAATTTTTGTAAGATAGAGGAGTTAGTGGAAATATGTAGTCTTACGTTTCAAATATGGGGTTGTCTAAAGAGGATGATGAAAATGATTCAGAAGGTGGTATTTATGGAATCATGCCTTATGTCGCTCCAGAAGTTTATTAAGTCAATGGCTTTGGGGTTATCATATCAGAGATATCAACTAGGCAATGACCATTGAGGGTTATCAATTTGATAATGAAGATTTGTATTGGATTGTGGCCTGAATTTGCATCTGGAACACTCGATCGCTAC